GGTGGGTGGAGGGAAGGCACAGCTCGGGTGGTGCTCACTGGAAGCAGCACAGGGATGAAGAGGGGAGAGGAGCTGCTTTGCGAGCAGAAATAGAGAAGGAAACCGCCGAGCAGAGGGATTACGTGTTACACCCAGTTTTGCCGAGATTTGCCAGGTCACTGTCAACATAAAGTCAAATAAATCCTGAAGAAGGCCCAGCACTATCAAAGCTGAATCAGGACATCCTAAAAGTGAAGCCTTTTTCCCTCGTGGGTAATGCTGAACAGCTCTGAACTGCCCAGTGATGCCTGTTCTTTCGGCTCTGACCTCTCTTGCCTGTTCTTCCCTGCTTTTGCTCAAATTTTTTTGTACTCTATTCCTTTTGACTCTACTTTTTTCTGGAAGCAATCTTAATTCTTTCCTTTTCATCTGTCTGATCCCATTTTGCAGCCCCACAGTATTTTTCCAGTCCTGATCTCCCCTCTCTTACCACTTTCATCTTTTCCCCCTCACCAAAGTGGGGAGAAAGGTGACACCAGCTTTTTTGGGAAGTGCTCACTCAGGTCTCCAACCACCAACCCCAACCGCACACCTTGGGGTTGGTTTTGGGGCCAGCCCTGCCGCCACGACGAGTGGGAAGTACTTGGTGGCCTCTAATCTGCTGTGTGCCACCACCGAGCAGATAGTGCTGGTGTGCCTGGTGTCCTCTGATGCCTTGCGGTTTCTCCCAGCAAAGGCCGGTGTCGGTGCTGCATGTTGAGTTGTTTTACAAACCTGCTTTGCTAAAGCTAGCGCATGTCCCAGCATGGGATCGTAATCTCTCTTGGGTACAAAAGCGATTGCTTTGGCTTTCATCAACAGAAACTGTGACTGATGGTGTGAAGTCAGTTGTATGTCCACCTTCTCATGGGACAGGTATGTTAGTTTGGTATAAACAAATCCAGAACTCTAGGGGAGAAGGATGCTTGGCACCTTTTGAAGTATGTTTTGAAGTATGGCCTTACTTTGCCCCAGGATTTGACTCCCTGTCTGTGACCGTGTTCCCCAGGGCACATCTGCTCCTCACTATGGGGTAAACCCAGGTCACCTACTGCAGCACATCTTCCGAGCACTTGCCATGTTTAGCCTCTACACCAAAGCCACAGTCTGCATGAATATAGTGTTTTTCTGTTTCTTGGTGTCCTCTCCTCAGCAATCCCAAACTGCGTGCCCTGGCGACAGCCTTGTCCCCAGGCTTCCTGAGGTTTGGTGGCACTGAGACAGATTTTCTCATCTTTGATCCCAACAAGGATTCGACATTGGAAGAAAGAATCATCTGGCAACTTCAGGCCCAGCAAGGTAAAGCTGGCATCAATGTATTAGACTTAAAACCACCCTGGGTTTAGGAGATTACTTTGATGCAGGCTGAGGATGCCACAAGGGCATGGTGGCTGTGCTGGAGGTCCTCCACAGACTCAGCATTCTTCTCTACAGAGAGGAGGTCTGTGAACCTTCAGCAGAGTCTGTGGGAGGAGCTGTGTCAGCCATGGGAAAGCAAGGAAGGGTGTGGGGGATGTCATGTCCACCCTGGCATCTGCTGGGACTCCCCCTTCGCTGCACTGTGCTCCACACAGCAGCCTTGCTAGCTCCCCCACCGCCTGAGACACAGTCAAGGCCAGCTCAAAAGCTGTGGTTTCATTATGAAAATCAAGTCACGGACAGAAGGAATAATCTGATGAAAACAGAGTGCCTGTTTTCTCTATCTTGGCCAAAGCCAGAGCTAGGCTGGGTGCACAGCCTTGCCCTCCTGTAGCTTTGACACAGCAAGTGCAAACGCACAGGAACACTGCCAACTGCTTGAGCTTGGTCCTGGTGCATGAGGTTTCCCACTGCATTAAAGTCCATTTACTCTTTAAACTTAGGAAAAGCACATAAACACTTCTAGAGGTGTTTAAGGTGAAAAAATTCCCTTCTATTCCTGCAGCACATAGTGTAACAGTGCAATTGTACATCACTGTCATGCTCGGTTTTGAAGTCAAGTGGCAATTCTCCCCCTGTTCCACTTTGCTGAGCAGCTGCCTCCTCTCTGGGTAACTATGACTCCAGTTCATGCCTTCCTCTCTGGTTACAGCTTGTTCCCAATTTTCATGCTGAGAAAAGACATGAGCTTTGAAGAATTGGTGTCTTATGACTCCTGCTAGTGTTGCTGTTAGAGCCATACGGGCAGTCAGCACTTTCCCCTGCACAGGACAGGCAGCTCAGGAAACATTGCTCCATATCTGCCCACAGCAAGGTGGGCCCTGCCATGTCACTGCATCCTGGGGTGGCTTATCTGCTCCTCGGGCATGGCAGCCCATGGTTTGTCAGCTCACTGGAACAAGGGTTTCCGGCTGATACTCCAGCTAAATTAGTTTATCATGCGGCAATGCCACGATAGCAGCCTTCAGAAGCACAGCTCGGTCTTCCTCCACTCTACCATCTCCACCACCTTAAACTGGGAAAGATACATTACATACATATTTATGCACCAAGCCAGCCCTCTTTTTCTATGCAGTTAACGTTGTGAAAGTAGGGGTGTGTTTCACAGAAGTGCATAACTGGGTCTCAGCCTGGCTTCAAGCCACTGGGCTTCCTCCTGATGGATGCATCCCTTTGCATACTGGCCTCTGGCTGTGAACATGAGGACTTAATTGCTATCAACCTTCTGCCTTACAGAGGCCTGTGGCTCAAGGCCTGTGTTTGCTGCTGTTGAGAGGCTGCTGCTGGCCCAGTGGCCCAGCCAGGAGAAGCTGATTCTTGTGGAGCACAACTGGAGAAAGCACAAAAATACCACCATTACAAGTAAGACCTCAGTGGATTTTTCTGCTAGAGTTTATAACCAGGGGGCTGCAAATCTCTGCCCTGCAGTAAAAGAGTCATAGGCTGTTAGGAGCTGAAGCCACTGTAAAAGAAACACTTTGAAAAATCACAGGATGGTTTGGTTTGGAAGGGGCCTTAAAGCTTATCTAGTTCAAATCCCTCTGCTATGGGCTGGGACATCTTCCACTAGACCAGGTTGCTCGTAGCCCCACCCAACCTGTTCTTGAATTAAATATTCAAAGAAACCTTTTCATACCATCTGCCACCTCATATTTAATAGTATCACACTGCTGCAGGACTTGGGAGGATCTCAACACCTTGCACGACGGTGTGTAGCAAGGTCTGGGCTCTTTTGTCCGGCTGGGAGAGCTAGGCACATCTGTAGCACCAGGCTAAATAAACACAGGTGGTAAAGATTGTCACTTGGCTGGAGCTCAACCAGCACACCATAACCTTGACATAAACATCCCCCCTTTCCCCTCCATGCAGGAAATACCCTGGATATTCTCTACAGCTTTGCAAACTGCTCAGGGTTTCACCTCATCTTTGGGCTCAACGCCTTGCTGCGGAAAGATGGCTTGCAGTGGGACAGCTCCAATGCCCAGGCACTGCTGGACTACTGTGCCTTGCGGAGGTACAACATCTCCTGGGAGCTTGGGAATGGTAAGTGTGAAGCCTGGTTGTGGACTGGACCAGCAATTACCTGGAAAGTTACCACCACAGGGTATGGGCTGGTAATTTTGGGTGTTTTGGATGACAGCCCGTAAAGTCAAACTGATGTTTTACTGGGGAACATTAAGGTCTTAATTTGCGAGGAAGGATGGCAAAGAAGGCCCAGTGAATAAGCAGATTGAAATAATTTTGCAATGAGATAAGGTGAATGATGCCGTACGAGGTGCAGGATGTCACCTGTGGGGACAGGCTGGAACAGAGTACTGCTGAGCAGCACACTCCAGTCACCCAGGCTTTTGGTTTCATGCTCATCGCCTTCAAATATCTCACCTGTACCATGCCAGATCACTTGAAAGCACAGGGGGTTGGCACTCCCCAGATGGAACAAGCTGCCCTATTTTGTGCCTTGAAACTAGAGCAGGGCACTGATGCACGCGTGTCTTCCCCAGAGCCCAATAGCTTCAGGAAGAAATCTGGTGTCTACATCGATGGCTTCCAGCTGGGGCAAGACTTTGTTCACTTACGCCACCTCCTCAGTAACTATACCCTCTACCGGCACGCCAAGCTCTATGGTCCTGACGTCGGGCAGCCCCGAAAGCACACGCAGAGACTGCTGAGAAGGTAGAGCTGTGGGGACCTTGGCAGCACCCCCTGGGGTGAGCAGCTGTGGGTAGCAGTGGCTTGTCTGCACCCAATGCAGTGCGGGCATGAGGAGGCATCTGGGAAGGGTTTTAAGGATGTTCTGTTACAAATCAGTACTAAGGATGTACAACTGGATACATCCTATTTGAAAACTAATTTTCTGATGTTTCTTTGCATTAGAAATATGGGTTTGTTTTGTTCTTTTTTTCCTTGACTGGGGATGACTGATACCTTACCTGCATGCATGAGGTTAAGTTTTAACCACTAAGCCAGCTGAAAGCAAGGTTCTAGCAGTACTTCAGTGATCCACACACCTTTCAATTGAGCGCTGGCTGTCTTAACAAAGGCTTTTCATGCTAGAAACCTCTGTGTGTTACACAAGCATTAATTCACTCTCCCAGCAACCTGCTGAGGCAGCCAGGCTGCCCAAAGCCCATTTAAAAGCCATCGCAAGCATGCCCCCAAAGCAGTTCACCATTACTACTGCCAGCTGGGGGGAGAGGGGAAGGCTTTGCATGGCAGCTCGCTCATAGGGGGCTGTGACCCATCACCAGTCCTAACACCTCCACTCTCCATTGCATCCCTTCTGGTTGCAGCTTCCTGAAATCAGGAGGGAAGGTGATCGATTCTGTCACGTGGCACCAGTAAGTACCGCTCAGATACCATCCTCACTCTGCTTATCACCTGTTTTCCTTACAAAATGTCAATCTGAGCATCTCAGCAGGAAGGGATGGGGTGCAACACCCCTTTCAGCAGTTCCTCAGGTGCCTCTCCTCAAATTCCTCCACTCAGAATAAGAGATGGATTGAGGGAGTGCATTACAGATATGCAGAAGATCTTCAAAGAGGCTACTCAGTGCAGAGACCCAGAAGCAGTGGCAGGGGGCTGTAACGCAGGCACAGCAGCAGGGAATGCAACATGTGCAAGACCATCATTTTCGTCACTAAGTATGTGCATTGAGAAAAACGTAAGTGGAATGTGGAGAAACGGATGGCACAGCAGCTTTGCTTCTCAGAATAGTGTGGAGGGTTATCACAGCTTTCCCCTGCATGATGAGAGCATCTGCAATGGTCGAGCCTTTTCACACATGCCATGTTTCGACATGCACCAAAAGCTAGTGAGATCTGAGCAGCAGTCTGAGTTTGAGTCGGTTGTCTCAAAGCTTCAAGCTGCCAACCCTTGCAAATGAAATGCACTTTCCCGTGGGAAGAAGGGGGTGTCATACAGAAAGAAAAGAAGGTAGCTCAGACTTGCTTGGCAGAGATGCCTCTGCTGAACTTCTGCATGAGCAGACGGTTTTTAACTAAGGTTTTAAACAACCGATGGGTGGTTGGGCTTTGAAATGGAGTCAGTGCCCCCAGCATTGGTGGTCTCCTTGGCATTAGAAAGGCTGAATCTGCTTGAGTGAAAGCTCTGTTCCCTAAAAACAAATTCAGGGAGTTACTGATAACCCTGCTGGCAAATGCACCCAAGTCCTTGTAAAAAATACAGCAGAAGCCCTGTTAGCTGATGCATTACATGCTGCTTTTTCCCCCTCTCTATTTCTGTCTGTTTGATACAAACAAAAAGCCCTGCAGGTCTGGCTGATCCTTACCCAGAGGAAAGTGCTAGCGGCTTCTCCTGCTCCATCACATTTGCTCTCCAAGTCAGCTTGGGCTGTGTGTGTAACTGGCCCTCAGATCCCACCCGCCGTGCAAACAGCGCTGGCACAGCCCCAGCCATTTCCTCTTGTGCCATGGCTTAGAGATGCAGTTTTAAAGTGCTCCGGTGTGCATTGGGACAAGCTGTCCCCAGGGCACCTGTCCCGAGCTCCATGTGTTTGAAAGTGATTTCCATGTGAAGGTGGTTTTATTTCCAGAGCTGAGTACAGCATGGTGACGTGCAGCAGTCGGATAACAGTGGGAGAAGATGCACATGGTTATATTTAACTATATGGCTTATCTATGTATTTTGAGCTGCTAGAAAGGCATAAAATGCATCCTCTCCCCTTCCTGGGCTGTTATTGCCCTGTGGCTGTCTTTGCTTTAAATGGGCATGTGTTATTTTCTTTACTAATTTAGGATTATCAGGTTTTAGCTTCCTCTTGTGGTTGGAAGACTTCAGCTACTTCTGGTAGGACTGAATGTTAGCGTGATGAAATGTAAAAGCCACAGGGATCCCAATTTCATGTTCTTTATAGGGACAAACCAGACTCTAAAGCTCTTCAGCTTATGGTGGAGGGCAACCTTCATCCCATAGGGATACCTCATTCCAGTTCCCCTCCAGACAGCCAAAATACTCCTACAGAGGGACAGAAAAAGGGATCTGATTATTAGTATGTAACTTGATACAGTAAAGCAAGTAATCACATAGGAGTGTCAGACTTTTCAACACAAGAAGACTTACAGAAGCTGGCTCTTAGTGATATTTTCCTTGTTCTAAATGGGTTGATGCAACAAACCCCTACTACTTCTGTTGATCAAAATTCCTGTGATACCCTGGCTCCATTGAGGTAATTATACCTGATTGTCCCTTAAATACAAACAACACACCTACACATCTGGAAAAAGAACTGAACATAAAAACAGTGCTGTGGATAAATGTATCAAGCAACCGAGTACTTTTGGTGATGTTTGGTGCCAGTGGTGGTATTTTTTTCTTCATTTTGTGCGGGTTTTTTTCCATTTCCAGTTACTATGTGAATGGACGAAGTGCAACAAAGGAAGATTTCTTGAGCCCTAAAGTGCTGGATACCTTTGCCACAGCTGTACATGAAGTCCTGGAGGTGCTTTGTCCTGTTCGATCCCATGTTCAGTTTCCAGAGGGTTAGCAGAGAATCCAGAATGAAGCCCAGTTTCTCATTAGCAATAAATGGGATCCTCAAAGCTTGGGTGCTGCTGTCACTGTAAATTAAAAACAAAAAAAATGGTGCCAGATGCATGATAAACCTACAACATTTTCATTTATCAACGTAGCTATTACTCAGGGATGTAATTTATGGTCATAACCCCCTCCCTGCCCTGATTTCTTTGTATTTTGAGATCCTGAGAACAGTGTATCACTATCCAGCACAAGACAACTTACAGAACCTGGCTTTTAGTGATGTTTGCCTTATTCTACATGCATAGATCTGGGTATTTTTGGAGGGGGGGAAGTAAATCTGCTTTTAGTCCTTTTGATCAAAATTTGTGTGACATCCCACCTCAGCTGGTGTTATCCCTTAAACGCAAACGCAAACATCATATTGTAGGCATTTGTCTAAAGCATAAGATTTTGATTGTCCATTATTTCAGTAGCCAACAAACTTAACTGTTGTGTCTTTCTCTTCTTCCCTATGCCACACTGGCCAGATCGTTGATGGGACTGTGCCCAACAAGAAGGTGTGGCTGGGAGAGACGAGCTCTGCCTATGGAGGGGGAGCTCCAAGGCTGTCCAACACTTACGTTGCCGGTTTTATGTGAGTACCATGTCACAGGTGTGGGGAAATGCCACAATTTACAGGCTGAAGGGAGTTGCATAGCTAACCCATAGAGGAGCGTCTCCCTCAGGCTTCCCAGGGAGGATAGGCAATGGGTGGGTTGAGGATCATAACCCTCCCACTGCTCCCTGTGTGCTTCCCCCATGCCTGAGGTTCAATGTAGGCCCAGGTAATAGCAGATTCCTATGGGAAATGGGAGATAAGAAGTGTGAGAAAGTTGTATTTCTGCCCTTGAATCTGCAGCGCGAACTCCATCCATTTGTGAGGATGGAAAGTCATTCACAAGATGGGTGTCCTTTTCCAAAGTCATCTTTTGATCACTGTGAGATAACTAACCCAATGGAAATTTAGCAATGAAAATATTTTTCTCCAAGGACTCCAGTTGCAGCAACCTGTTGAAGTGAAAGAAATCAGGCTTTTCTTACCACTTTGGTCAGTTTGTAGATTCAGGGAGGTAAAATTGCATGGAAATGTACAGTTCACGCTTTGAAAATGAACCAAAACCATGGTTGCAATGTATTTTTTCACCTTTCTGTAGGGCATCTCAATCTTTTCATCAGGACCTGCTGAGTCAGCAAGTCTAAGCCTGGTAGTAGCAGGCAACCTTGTTTGTGTAATGATTTCTCTCAGCCTTCAGGCCCTTGGCCAGTTCAGGAGCATCCACTGATGCTCCTCCTGGTTTCCACTGCCTGCAAACAGGGGAATGGAGCAACTGTTCCCACCAACTCTGATCTTCAGAGGTAGTCTGAAATTATATTTTAAAGTAATCAATGCAAGACTTGTAGTGAAATCAGTTGTGTGATTCTTAATGAAGTCAGTATCACGCCCTAATTCTTGCTTTCCTACTTCCTGCGCTGGTTGGAGAGGGGCAACGGTGGTCAGCGGAGGTCAGCAATTCCATCTGCATGATGTTTGCCTTATCTTTTTTGGCAGGTGGCTGGACAAACTTGGGCTTTCAGCCAGGCAGGGGATTGACGTGGTGATGAGACAGGTTTTCTTTGGGGCAGGTACCTATCACCTGGTGGATGCCAACTTTGAGCCTTTGCCGGTATGTATGAAACCCACCTAATGCCATCTGAATGCTAAGTGTATTTCTGCACAGGCAACACAGGGTTAAGTCAGCTACTTTAACAACACCTTTTTTTTGTAGGGTAGTCACAGTTAGCCTTGTACCTAAAATTATCTCATGTTTCATTATAGGTTCATATGTTTTAGATAGATTGGTAGATAGATAGATAGATACCAGATGTTTACTGCAACCGCAGGGATGCAGCTAGTCTTCAGCATAGCAGAGACTGATTTCTGGGACATGATGCTCTGATTTGTATGCAGACACTTCTGGAGTTCACAAGGCTTTTCTGGATGGACTGTTTTGGTTTGAGTACTACTCAACTGAGTGATGCATAGCTTTTAAACAGAAGTGAAATGAGGTATTATAATAATTATATCCTAAGTGAAAACAAACCAATACAAAGTCAAGACTCAAACATTTCTTAGGTCATGAGCATACTTAGCCCTCAGTAGTGGCTGAAGGATAATTAAGTGAAAACAGGCATTTAGTATAGTTGGATTTATCAGGAAATAACATTCTGCTGTGATGAAACATCATCATTTGAAAAGCACATTTCTTTGTGCTAGTAGCACTTATCTTGGGGTGAGAGGATAGCATCTTTCTTTTTAGCTTTCCTGTCATTTTTTCACTTCCAAGTTGAGATTTTCACAGGCTCACAGAGACCATCTGAGAGGAAACCCAGCATTCGGGGGTTTTCTGTCCTGCCTGCTCAGCTGGTCCCTATGCCAGGGACTGGGTTGCCAGGCTTGTTGCTTTGGGCTTTTTATTTCCTCACTTAAAATAGATTTAATTTGGACTGAAAGGATGTGCCTTTGTTCCTCACCTACAGGCAGTACAGATGCTAATCAAGCAAATAATGCTTTAGAGGAAGAGAAATCCAAACCCAGTTCCATCAGTTTTAGTTCTCAGGGAAATGAAGAATCACAGCAGTGTCAGGAGGCTGCGCCTCCTTGCAGAGAAACTGAGCATGCAAGCTCACAGACTTCATAGAGGAAAAGTAGTGGTTAAGATGCAAAAGGGAGCAGACCTGGAAAAAATAAGTCTGCACTGGGCATCACCCTGCTCTGAGGCACCATCCTGGAGTGTCAGGATTTACTCTTTGACTGGCATTCATAATTAATCCTGAGACCTGTTCAAAAGCACGATGTTAGTGAAAGGCGTAGAAGTTGGGGGCTTCTTCCTGGCACTGTGCCTGTGAACTGGGCGCAAGCTTTCCTGCTGGCAGGGCAGCTCATCCCTTGTGGGTTCAGCCCTGAGGTGCTCTGTGCCCTCCAAAAGGGAGTTTCCATAATCAGTCTCTCTTCCACAGAGAGAGATTTGCATGTGAAGTGGAAAATTACTCCAAGGCACCTTGTAAACACAGCTGCTCAGCAGCTTGGAGGCAGGGTTTTCTCTTTAGCTATGCTGTTTGTGGGAATTTGAATAGATATGTGAAAAACTGGAAAAGAAAAATGCACGGAGAGAAAACCCCTGAAATTACCAGCAAAATTAGCATTGTTAAGCACTGTGTGGAGTATCTGGGATGTACAAAAGTGCTCACGTGTGGTTTTGTGCCTCCCAGGACTACTGGCTCTCGCTGCTTTACAAGAAGCTGGTGGGTACCAAGGTGCTGCAGGTTGGCCTGACAGGAGCCGATGAGAGGAAGCTCCGTGTCTACCTCCACTGCACGAACCCCCTCCAGTAAGCCACAATTTACGGGCCCACGGCCACCCCCAGGCCAACAAAAGCAATGTGGGGGAGCACAAGATGCCCTATTTCTGTGCAACCTTTCTCTCCTAATCAACACCATCATCTACTCTTGCCTTGCAGCCCAAAATACAGAGAAGGGGATGTGACGCTGTTTGCTTTAAACCTCTATAATGTCACCCAACATTTGCAGCTACCAAATCACTTATCAAGCAAGCACGTGGATCAGTACCTCTTACTGCCTCATGGCAAAGTGAATATCCTTTCCAGGTAAGTGCAATTCCTCCTGTCGCTGTACAAAGGATCGTAGGCTTGGGTGTCCTCTGAAACCTCGCCTTGTTTGATGTGCAGGGTAAGGGGTGGCAGGAAGAGGTTACCATTCAGTCATCTGGAGCTTTTGCTGTTAAGGTCTGACCTCTGTTAAATCGGGTCTCCTAAAACCAGGCTGCTGAAAGCTTGCTAAGATATGAGGACACTTGTTTGGTGTTAATCGGGAAGCTTTCTCCTAGCAGGCTTCAGGGCTCTGGACCAGATGCTAAAGTCGTTTTTCTTTGGCACAAGCACAGGTAAATTGCTTTCCCGAGTGCTGGCTCCTGATTTACAGCAAGGCGTTCAGGCTTTGTATGGTTACTTTTTGTTGTTACTGCTGATGCATCAGCACAGGAAGAATCTGCTCTGTGGGCATAGAAGGTATCTTAATATTTGCAGGAGGAAAAAACAGTTAAAATTTGTACTTTTCAAAGCCTGTTCTGCTGTTAACCTCACCAGAAGAGTAAGAAACACACACTTTTCAGCTTGCTTGTGCTATGACTCTAAAGGAGTCCTTGCAGAGGAAGTGCTGCAGATGCTGTGTGTGTGCACACACAAACCCTCAAGGGAAGTTTAATTTGGCTTTGGGTTGAGTTTATGTTTACACTCAGATCCAGAGCTGTTTATGCGAGATGGCAAACAGAACACAGCTGCCCAAACAGTCTCTCTGTCCCTCTCCAGATCTATTGAGCTGAATGGCCGTGTGCTACAGATGGTGGATGACAAAACACTGCCAGAGCTTATTGAAAAACCCCTTGGTCCCGGCAGCATACTCGGCCTTCCAGCCTTCTCTTACGGTTTTTATGTTATCAAAAACACCAAAGCTATTGCTTGCATTTAAATGGTTAATGCATGCGGGGTAAATGTAAAGCACTTGGCTAGTAGGGAAGTTTAATCCTAGAAATTCATGTTCCTACCATGAGGTTTAATTCTGGCAAGGGATGCAAGTGTGGTGGCACTGGTAGGATCTGTGGGCTGCAGAAGACATGAGGTCCCACTGGGTGATTTGTAAATGAAAGATGCTTGTTGACATCCTGGGAAAATTATCCAGGTAGAGCAAGGCCAGGCAGGGGCTGGTTTTGCTCTTGGTCAAGCCTGTATCAGTGCACTTGAGCACAGGGCTCTTCTCCATGCCAGATGCAGAGCTGCATCAGCTTCTCACACTGCCCTTGGGACTTTGCCAGGCGAGATTGCAACCTCCTCTCATTTCTGCAAGCACAGTTCTCAAGTCAGTTCCTTCAACAGCTTGCTTTCAGAAAGGATGAGGTATTTTAGCTGTACAGCTGTGATTTTGCCTGCACCATGTGTGGAAGCTCAAGGAGTGGTTGTGATTGCTGAGGGCATCTTGGGGTGTAAAGCAGGGACACACAAAGCAAATCAAGGTTGAGGTGCCTGCAGGGGAAAATGCCTTGCCGAGAAACCAGCCCTCCGCGGAAATTGGGGCGGCACTTACGTTTGTCCCAAGCTAGGAGATTCGGTCACAAGATGGAGCTGTAGCCATGTTCTTTCCAAAGGCGAGGTTTAGACGAATGAGATGTAGGCAAGGGCTTATGAGTCCTCAACCTCCACCACCCTTCAGGCGGCTCAGCTGG